AATATGTCAACAAATACATAGACAGACATACTCACATGCATCGAAGTTGACCTATGAACTTAACTAACCAAATGACTTTATACTTTATCAAAAAGGCCAGATGTATAGTATATATACAACTTTTTAGGGATTTGCCGGTGAGTTTTCTCGACTCGTTAACTTGAATTTTGTTGTGACGATGATGCCTCGTTCTGATGATATTCGTCAAATGACGGATGTAAGCTTAGCACCTTTTCACCGGAATCGAAGCAGATTGCCTCGGAAACAGTGTCAGCATGAATGCTCCAGTAAAACCAATCGACAGCTTGTCAAGAGGAATCTCTGTCGTCTTCTGGTGGAACCGACCTTCGAATCTCTTCACCCAACACCTTCACTCGAAATGGAAGTGAGCTCAACAATGATCTTTGAATGTTCCAACAAAGTCACTCGTAAGCATCCGGTTTTCAATAGCCACTCTTTCGATAAATAGACTCTTATCCCTGCTGGATTGGACTGCAATTTCGACCTTGCCCATCGACTCATCAGCACCTTCAGAGGGGTTCGAACTGGGCCGTCATGGTACATCGTATAGTCCTGACACGGTACCACCACGCTGCGCTGCCCCAGCTGCGTTAGGGTTACAAGACTTAATTGACTTTCAAGCAAGTTCATGCCTCTCCCATTTCCCACTGATAGTGGGATTTTTGATGAGGCCAATTAGTAGCCTGATAAGTTGCCCTAGAATATGCAACATAATACCCGGATTCGAGTCCCGCTAGGGTGCTGATGAGACATTGAGGCGAGGCTGAAACTGCAGTTTTGTCCCGTCGAGCGGAGAATACTTTTTGGGAAGCAAGGCTATGCTAAATACAATGGAAGCGTGAGGCCTACTCATCTGGTTGTGGGAAAATCCAACCATCCTTTCTTCGGCATTTTATGCGACCTATTCAAGATTTACTGATAGATTCGAAGCCTACTTTATATGAATATTTTCAAAATCTCATCATTTCTGTCTGATGTAACCCAAATGTCATTGATACACGCCTACACGCATGGGGCTGGCGAGGGATTTGGTCACAGTGGTAGGCATCAGATCATCCGAGGTACGTCTGTGTTCGTGTGCTGCTTACATGAGGGCAGACACAACCAGAGGGAGGGTGATGCGTCGAAGACAGTTCATGCCTTATCTGTCCTCACGACGTACAGATCAGGCCAATACCGGCCTGCAGGCTCCAGCATTTTCCCAGTTTCCCTGCAGCAAGTTGATGCGAATAAAGGGGGCCTTGAGGCTGCTGCCATTTCCGAGCTCTGCTCTTCGGTCAAGTTGACAATTAGCGCCGGAACCGGTAAATTTCTTGTTTCCTTCCTCAGTTTAGGTGGCCTTCTATGTCTTTCGGAGTGCACATGCATGTGTGTGTGTGTGTGTGTG